TTAATTATATGGTTATTATGTATGTTTTTGACCTCTTCAAGAAATATTTACCTACTCCACAGTCAGAAAGATGTTTTTCCTTTTAGAATCATTGTAGTTTTAACTGTTACATTTATGTCTGTAATGATTTGATGATTTTTAAAATTTTTGTTTTGGTTTTGTTTTTTGGTACCACGGATCGAACTCTGGTCCTTGTACTTGCGCAGCAGGCAGCGAAACAACTGAGCTAAATCCCCAGCCCTGATTTTTAAAATTTTTTTATATGGTGTGAGGCAGCAACGGAGGACTTTTTTTTTTTTTTTTTGCTATATCTAGTTGTTCCAACTCTATTTAAGCCTTTGTTTATTTTTTTATTTTTTTAAAATTTTTTTGGTACTGGGGATTGAACTTGGGCCCTTGAGCTTGCACAGCGGGCAGCAAAACCACTGAGCTAAATCCCTGGCCCACCAACTCTATTTATTAAGAGATTTCCTTTCCCCTGAGTTGCCTTGGTAACTTTGTTAAAATTCAGTTAACCATATGTATGTGAATCTATTTTAGGAATATCTGTTCTGTTCCATTGCTTCATTTGTGGATCCTTATGAAAATATTACAATGAAATCATCTGAATCCTCTAATACTTTTTCTTCTTTGAAAAAAAATATATTCATTCATCCATTCATTCCTAGGTCCTCTGCATTTCTACATGCATTTTAGAACAGATGGGTCAGCTTCTACCAGTGCCTGTTGGGATTTTGATTGAAACTGTGTTGAACCTGTACAGCCATTTGGGGAGAATTGCATTTTAGTAATATTTAGTCCATGAATGTGTTATATCTCTCTGTTTAGGTTTTCTTTCATTTCTTTCACATATATCAGTTTTATAGTTTTTAGTGTAATACCTCGCACAGTTTTTGTTAAATTTATTCCTGTTTTTCTGTTGTATTTTTTGATATTATAAATGAAAAAGTTTTATTAATACTATTTTCCAACTGTTTGTTAATAATGGGAAACTTAATTAATTTTTATAAATTGACCTTGTGCTCTGTTTGATTTTTGTAAATTGACCATGTGTTCTTTTACCAGACGGTACAAGAATCACGTACCTTTTGGATGCCTCTCACTTTACTTCTCTCCTTCAGGAGATACTGACATTATGTTGAACTCAACTCAATTTAAAGTTGTCATGTAGAAGTGCCGCAGGTCAGAGTGTTTCGCTACATTTATCTTTTTTTGTATACTTCTTATTAAAACGGGGCTCAGTAAAAATGTAATTTTTTTTTTTTAGTACTGGGGATCGAACTCAGGACCTTGCGCTTGTGAGGCAGGTGGTGGAACCACTGAGTTAAACCCCCAAGGCAGGGGCTCAGTAAAAATGTACAGAATAAAGCAAAAAATGAACCATTTGTAGAAATTTTAAAATTCAGCATCATACGAGACCCTGAATACTATATAATATTGTAGAATTCTATTTAATAATAGTATTTCCACATATACCTAATTTTATATTTTAGAAAGAATTTGCACATAGTCCTTTCACTTCATCCTAGCAATAATTTTTTGAGGAAATTGAAGTAGTTATTTTTGTCTCCTATGAATGATGTTGAAGCAGTGATCAGAGAATTTAAGTAACTTGTATAAGGTCACATAGCTAATTAGAAATGGACAGGATTTGACAGTAGGTATTCTGATATAATTTACTACGGCATCTGCCTAGTAACTACAATTAGATGAGGAAGGCCCCTGAGAAACCAGTTGAGAATATTGCTTAACTCTCCCATAGGGTAGCCAGCACCTTCCCAGCCATGGAT